AATATAGAACTTATCAGAAACAAAAATGTTAATAAAATAGAATTCAACACATAATTCCTTGAGATAAAATATCATCTGCTTGAAAACGTGTTGTTTTGCCATGGAGTAAAATTCTATCTGTTGCTGAAAAAAATGTACTTCTAGTGACAAACATCTTTGTGGAGAATAGAAATATTCGAAGCAAACTGTAATCTACATTTTAGTTATATACGATACAATTTTACATATGAAATATTTGATCAATCAAAATACATTTTAAATTCAGTATGTTACTTGCCAATTAGTAGCGTGTGTGATTCTGGCGTTCCTATATTGAAAAACATTTTGAAATTGTCTGCAGTTAACAATGTGTTTATGTAATTATCATATAAATTATTTAATGCAAATAACATTTATCACTCAGACGAACGACGGAAAATGCAAAACTACTATCTCATTACTTCCGTTTAGGTATTCTACCATCTGCTGTATCCGCAGGTGTAATAATCGCTCCCGGTTATTCTGGTTATTGGTTATGGATATGGAGCTTTGCCTGGACTTTTAGCTCATGGTTCAGGATTACAAGGTCAATATATTCCCGACCGCAACGAGCTTTTGTTTGACGACGGCTCTTACAAACTCTACTTGCACGGGCATGAAAACCATAATTTCAATCCTCTAATTGTGTAAATAAATGCATAATTAATGCACTTATCGATTATTTACGACGGCAATAAATACCTAGATACTACACTATTTTAGAATGGTTTAATATTTTAAATTAAATAAAATGTGGAAGATTGGTTTGTGAAAATAAAATTCAGTTCTTCAACATTATTTTATCCCAGCTTGGTTATCAATTATTCATTTTGAAACGGCCTATTTTAACAACACAAGCTTTATGTTCTTGAAAATGTTATGAAACTTGTGTGTGACATCAGATTATTATATTATTTATATAAAATAATAGCGTTCTGATGAATTCGAAATTTGCATGCAGTTAATTTAAATAAAGTATTGTCATGAAAACTATTATGATAACTTTCATATTTTTTCAGTTAAGTTAATAGCGTAAATAGTACTTGGTGATTTAATGTTTCTTGCAAATTAAGATATGCAAGAATAAGGACAGATTAATTGAAAAATGAAAGATCAAGCTTTTAACTTTAGAAATTTTGAGTAGTAGTAAAGTAAAATTCAGTGGTATGGTAGAATACTTTCAGATATGCAAATGTTGGACATCTAAAATTTAACCAATGAAGTGCACTCATTGAACCAGATAATTGTTGTTAATTAAAAATAAACTGTTGACACCTTTAAAAAGTATATTAAACTTTAAAAGTATTTCAAATATTTGTTATTTAAAATAAACGCAGACATATAAAATTGCTTGCGTACAATAAATAACTGTTTAAAACAACTATTTGGTGTATCTACATATATTTTAATATATAGTACGACCTTTGCCAGAAAGTCATTCCTGCTATTTATTCTGATTTATTTTCCTGATTGCGTCTACCTGTCATGATATTCTTATCCTTCCTGGGTCTCAGTCAAAGTGTGAATTCACAATTAAAACATGTTGTATAAAAATTATAATTTACAAAGTGTTAAAACATTCCTTAGTTTTTGAGGGAAAAAAAATATTTCTTTTGGGAGAGCAAAACACCGGAAAAACTTACCTCATGATTTGTAAAAATCAACGTCTTTTTAGGTCTTTGCCTTCTTGAAAACCTTGAGTTTGTCTGAATTATTTTCTACATTTGCGAGAGTGGTATGCATGTATTGAGATAAGCAGAAATA